TTGTATTTACATTTCAACTACATGTAAAATGGTGCACTCTTTTCCTTGAACCGATCTTTTTTCCTCTTATAAAATTGTGAAAAGGGGTTTTTGGTCGGCAAGGTTTTTAACGAAGCATCGGTCTATTAATGAAAAAACATTCTGAGTATTCAAGCTTGTCATAATTTTTTTTCGTCTTTATGTTAATTTTACAAGTCTTCCCTCCCGAGATGTCTCTCGGCCAAGGATGTGACTTTCATTAATTCTACAAGTCTTCCCACCCGAGATGTCTCTCGGCCAAGGATGTGACTTTCATTAATTCTACAAGTCTTCCCACCCGAGATGTCTCTCGGCCAAGGATGTGACTTTCATTAATTCTACAAGTCTTCCCTCCCGAGATGTCTCTTGGCCAAGGATGTGACTTCCATTAATTTTACAAGTCTTCCCTCCCGAGTTCTCTCTCGGCTAAGGATGTGGATTAAGTTAATTTATACGTTTTCCCTCCCGGGATCTCTTTCGGCCAAGTATGCAACTTACGTAAAATTTTAAAACATATCATATTGCACCAGTATATGACAGTAAATAAGATTCAGATTCATTGACAAAGGTGCTATCGGCCTAAAAGGGTACATTAAAAAAGGGCACTATCGGCCCAACACTACAAAAAACAAGAAAAAAGCTTAAGACCTAACCTCCGGTTCCCCCTGAACCGGACCATCCTCAGGCGCACCCTCCTCGTACGCCGTCACCTCCTCATTCGGCCCAGCTGGCCATGTCGGGGCCTCCTCATCGGCTTGTTGGTCCGGAGGGATAGAGGTCAGGTCCACCAACTTCCCCTGGAAAAAGTCCTTGGTCATGTCCAGGTGAAATTAAGGGGGAAGTCGCTGAAGAAGCACGCTTGCCGAGCCACCTGAGCAAAGCCAGCCTGATGCTGAGTCAGGACCTTGTTGCGCGCTTTCTCCTTGTAAGCTCCGAAAGCAACCCTCTCGGCCTCCAGCTCTTGGCTCAGAACAGCAACCTTCTCTGCCTCGCTTTTCAAAGCAACCTCAAGACGTTGAACCTTCAGAGCCAGGTCATCAGCCGTGCGCCCTTGGCGATCCACCTCAGCCTGATATTTGTTGTTGGCCGTTTGGGCGTCAGTCAGCGCCGCCAGCGTCTCTTGGGGAGACTTCTCCTGTTCAGCTAGCTGCCGACGCAATCCATCGGCCTCGCCATTCAGCTCCATCACGATGCTTTGGGCTAAAGCCACAGCACGCACTTGGAACTCACAGAAGAAACTCCATTTCTGAGCAGAGGTCATACGACTCAGCACACCTTGACTTGATTCGGAGGTCAAGTCTTGGCTCAGAAAATCCTGAGCATTGACGTTGCTGGCCAGAAAACTTGGCCCAGCCATGCTTTCCAGAACAGGGGGCTAGCCACTCGGCGCTGCTTGGCCCGACGGCTCTCTTCCTCGGCCCTTGGGTCAGGCCTTCTTTTTTCAGACTGGGGCCGAGTGGGTTTCTTCGGCCTGACTGTTGGCCCTGCTCCACTACCTTGGGCAGACAGCTGATTCCCGTGCACGCCGGTCGGGGCCCTATTCGTAGTCGTAGCCGCCACTTGATTCCTAATCAGTGTGCGGATATCCAAATCGTCCTCTCCGTGATTTGCCATGATACTTGCACATCATTAGTCAAAATCAATGATAACACAAGAATTTAAAAAAAGTAAGAAAGGTACTATACCAATCAGTTCTTCAACCACGTCAGCAAATTCACACAACCGGACCAGATGACGGCACGACAAAGGCCGAGGCAACTTCTCCAAAAAATTCAGACTCAATCTCTCCTCCGAGGACATTCGATATTTGGAAACTGTGTCGTACTTCCTCAGCTTCCAGGTCCAATACAATGGAAACAAAGATCTCCCTTCGGCATCAAAAAAATACTTGTTCCCTGGCTTTGACTGAATCATCACCTTCATAAATCCTACTTTAAAATTTTTATAAGAGGTGGTGAAAGGCTGTAGCAGGCAATCACTGTGCCGAACCGGGGACAACCACTTAATCTTCTTCGTGGGCCGAGATGAATAGAAGTGTAGGAACAGATGAGGAGTGGGCCGGATGCCAAGAGCCAAGCATAGCTGCCTAAACCCTTGCATCGCCGCCCACGTGTTGGGGTGAAGCTGGCTCGACGCCACGTCCAGTAGGCGCAATATACCGATAAAATAATCGTCAAAAGGTAGAGTGATCTTCAAATCCCGGAACATGTAATCATACACATGGAAAAACTGGTATTTGCTCGACCCTCGGTCCAAATACACGAAATTCGGGTTCAGCCCTCCATCACCTCTACATGGTTGAAAGAAGATAGCGGAGGGCTCCTCTTCCTTGGGAAAGGTCAAGAACTTCGCTGCCGATACGAAACGAATCAAGGAGTTCTTATCAGTATATCGGGAATATACGCTGCCAACCTCCCCGTGCACCCACGAATATCCAGGAGTTGATATGGGAGCAAAATTCCTAGACGATCCACCACCTCGGCTCGGCTGATCGTCAGAAGCCATCGCCGATGAAGAGTGACTCCCACTTTGCGACCGTTCGGACCTGGATGCGGACCCTGCACAATCCTCTCCATTGGAAGCCGAGGCCGATACGACGTCTCGGTCCGGCGTCTCCCTCAACCCAGAATCACCCTCGTCCTCGGAGGAGTCAACATGAACAACATTTAAATCTGCCATTACGTACCTGAGTGTTGAACTTGACCAATTTTTGGTGACGAATATGCGAATGCAGCAACTCAAACGATCTCGGCTCGCAGCAAGTAATAAATGCGTATGTTTGAGGACCCCCCCAACACGCCTATTTATAGGCAGTCTCCGCAAGTTACCAAGAGTCACACCCCTCTGCATACCGTTGGATCACTTAGATCCAACGGTTCACGACGTGTAACCCTTCGCGTACGTCATTAATACCCAACGGTTATAACCCTTGGTATTCCGACAACGGTTACGTCTCCCCATATTCCATTAAGTCATAGCTCCTCGCGTGCGTCATTTATGTCCCTTCGTTTCCCTGAAGCAGTTGTAACCCTTGGCCTACCCTCAAAAAAGGTAACAAACGAAGTGGCACATTTACCCTTTGCGTCGTTATCTCCTCAAGGCTGGGGGCTTGTGTACCGGGAGGACCTTATCGGTCACGTTGACCAACACGTGTCGTTCCGTCAGACACTCATGCGAACTGGACCATACCCAAGGCTTTGACGTTAGCATCGGCTCGGCTTATAGCCGAAGACCGAGATTAGTCAACTGGCACATGTCGGCTCGGCTGAAGGCCGATGCAAACAGCATGAAGCATCCCCGCATACTATGTATCGGCTCGGTCCAATGCCAGTCTGATAGGAATACCAAAGTAAACGTTTATCGGCCCGATCAACAGCCGAAGACATGCAACCTCCCAAGCATTAGCCTGTCGGCTCGGCAATGTGCCGATAGGTTAAACGGGTTATAGCACAAATTACAGTTAACAAGGACAAGTGCATAATTAAGACATGATTAGCTGATTAGCATCGTATTACCTAATTTGGTAAGGATTAGAATAGGCCCACCACGCTCAGACCCATGTCAGGTATTATAAATAGGTCACACGTAACGAGGTACGTCACTGTTCATTAATTGCCTAGAATATCGTGCTTGTCCTAACTTGAGCGTCGGAGTGCCTTTTGCAGGTACCTCCCCCCTTTCTTGAAGAATCCGTTTGAAGCATCCGTTCGGCCCTTCAACACTAAGAAGACTACGAGTGTATCCTCAGGCAGGTACACAAATCAACGTATAAAATATTTATATCATTATTAGTCAATTTGAATAAATATAATAAAATTTTAAATAATTTTAAATTTTTTTAAAAATTTATACTTAATTTATGCATTAAAAACTTAATTCCAAATGCATGACGAACAATTACAGACGCCCGTTTCTCTTTTGGTATCGAGTGATGTTCTACTTTTCAAATCAAAATTGCTTTGTGGAGGTTGCTGCCGACGAAGCATGAGATATCATTATAGGTGTTTGGGAGTTATTGATTTCAAACTTTCGGGTGTTTCTGTAGATTTTAGGTTTTGCAGATATGATTTGTTTCCTGTGTTGGTTGTTGGGTTGTTGTGATTTGGGTTGGGAATGTGAAGGTTTTATTTGGTTTGAATGTTTATATCTGATTTGAAAAAGAGAATTTACAAAAAAAAAATTTGGTTCGTCCCTGGAGTATCTACCGCCGACAGCAGTGACTAATCTCCTTGCTACGTTGGAGGCACCTCAAAGGGTGGGATAGCTGGCCCCAAGATTTAACGCAGCTGCATACACAAGGTAGGATTCGAACCCCTGACCTTGCTTAAGCGTAGATCAACCCCTACCGCTAAACCACACGCTTGTGGTTAGAGAATTTACAAATTTAAGGATGAAGAAGGAAAAAGAAAAAAAAGGAGAAGAAAGAGAAAAAGGAAAGTTTGAAAATCATTCTCCACAATCGTGTTTAGTAGTTGGATAGGAAATAAAAAAGGGAAGATGGAAAGGAAAAAAAAATGTTTAATCTATACTTATTATAAAAAAATATATTTTAATAATTAATTTTTTATCTCTATTTTTTAATAAATATATATATCCTTGAAGTAAAAAAAATTAATTATTATATTTTTTTATAATTTTTAATATTTACTTGTATATAATTATTAGAAACACCTCGAATTTTCTAATTTATTATTAAAAAATATAATAAATTTACATAAATATTTACAATTAATTATTCAAATAGAGTGACATAAATTAAACATTAATATTAATTAAATAAGAATTATATTTAAATTAATTCATTTAAGAATAAAAAGAGTAAATTGATATATAAAAAATAAACAATAGATCAAATGAATAATTTAACTTAAATCATATTATAAAACAAAAAATAATTTTATGTTTTTTACGAAAACCATTTAAAAAGTAATTTCATAAGAATTAAAATAAACAAAAGCGATCTATTACACGAAATAAAAATATATTGAAGTCTAAAAATTATATAGCTGATAAGGGTGTGATATGGTTGGAAGCCATCACCGTTAATCCGTCCCTCTCATCGGTCAACACAATATTTTCTCTGCTAAACGCACTGTCTAACCGCCACCGGTAACTGCTCATTCTTTTTTATTTATTTATTTATTTGCTTTGTTTGAGGTTTTTGTTTGTTTTTAAGGTTTGTATTATCTAAAGTTATTGCTCATTCGAACTTCGCTTTGTTAGATAATAGTGTGAAATCCCAACTACTTTTAAGTTCAATTATTATTATTATTATTTTTTTTTTAAAGTTCAGTTATTATTATTCGGTCGTATTGATTTTGGGGTTTAGAATTTGAATAATGCTTTTGATATATTTTATTTTCATTGATGTTAGAAGAAGAACGAAGCAAATTTTGACCAGATTTAAATTTGGGTTGTTTGGTTTTATTTACTTATTTTTAATTATTTTTCTGTTCTGGGTCTCGCTCATGCTATGAAAAATATCACCAAAATGCGTGTTGGACTGATAAGAAACGAAAAGAAAAACTTAGCTGCATATATGTTTGCTATTTTTATGTTCTAATTCCTAAGAATTTTTCCCCATGATTATAATTGTTCATTGCTTTTATGCCTAAAAGATGGGGGTTTTGATTGAATTCTGTGTATATTTTACACTCATTTATTTTATTTTTATGAAGAGTCATATTAATTGAAATTTCTCTTATTTGCTATTTTACTCAAATGTTGTTTCTTTGAATTCTTGTTTGATGATTCTTTTATTTAAAACGCATGATTTGATACTATTTAATGAGTGATTAGATTATATAATAAGTAGGAAAGATCATAAGATTGAAATATGTCCTTTATCACTGCAATAGAAAAATTGATAGGACTGTTTGAGTACAGAATTGATCTGCGTGTTATGAAAATCTGTGGTGAACCATGAAAAACAGATTGTGGATCTGCCCATTTATAGACGTGTGCAGAACATTGAATACATGTTTAGCGGTTGAAACTTGTTTTCATTTCAGAATATATGAAGTAATGATAGGCAGTTAAACAAAGGAAGCTTAATTGATTATTCGGTAGATGGAACTTCCTCTAAGGCAATTGATGAACACCGCAAGAAAACTGTTAACCCAACCCACACTTTAACCAAGCCAATCCATTGGATGTAAAAATTCACTTTACTAAACCTGGTTCTTAAACTCAACTGTTTTTAATGTTTGTTATGGGTTAGGGGATCCATTGTTTACACTGGTTTAGTTTAATAGTTTATTTGCTATGAGCTGATATAGAAATAACACTGAGAGTAACACTTTTATAGAACACCCTATAAAATGTAAAATAGAGCAAACCCCAAGATTTTGATCAATATTGCATATGAGACATGACAATCGGAGGGAAATAGGTATTGGTGTGACTTGCACTTACCTTAAAATTCATTATGTGCTGATTGCCTGATTTAGTATTTGGAAAAATATGTATGCTTTGTTGTGTTGAATGACAATCTTCTCTTACTGAGCTTGACTATTTTTTTTCCCTTCATCTTTGTGTTTTCATTGTGCTTATATGTTTCTCCTTGGTATTGTCCTTTTTTCCTACTGATTTTATGTATGTACTTATTTTTTGCTAAATTTGAATGGGGCATTTAATGTGCTCTCTTCTTTTGGTTTTAATCATAGTGAAAAAAATCAGAAAATATGAAAGAGGGATGGATCTGATCCTCAGCATTATTAGCATTCTTGTCTGGATTCTATTGAAATGAAATAGATTTAGCTAATTAATAAATTAGCCAACCCTTTTCAGATGAAAAGAAGATAGGAAGAACAGTCAATTAGAGTAACCAGGTGCACCTGAAAGAGTATTAATTTATTCCAGTAAAATTCCTTTATCATTAAGTTTTATTGTAAAGGTTGTTAAGCGCTGGTATCAAATGCATGAAACCAATATGATGAATTGATGATAGATAGAGACCCCTTGTTACTAAGGTGTATGCTTGGTGATATAGGGGATCATGACTCTAAGAAGAGTAACAGAATGATTGAATAGTTGACAGTTTCACAGTTGTAATCAGAGTTTGTTAAGCAGTTAATGGGTGGTAGTTACAGGAATTATTAATAGAGAAGAAAGTGGGATGATATCACATTTTGTAAATGGAATGATATCACATGTTGTAAATTGATTTGAGGAGAGAACTGGTCTCTTAAAAACCAGTACTGTACCATTAATTACCCTTATAAAATCTTCAACCACACTGGTTAACATTTGGGAAATTAGGGTTCTGCAATAATACCAATTTTCATTCCTTTTATTTTTTCTGATCCAGTTTCTATCACATGATCAGAGTCTTAGTTCCTAAATTATTTTTGGAAGGTTATTTGGACTTATTTAGATGAACTATTACCAAGTATGAAAAATAAAGTATAATTTGGAAATCCATCTAGTTGGCTAATTTCAGATTTTGGTTCAAGAGTCTTGGTTACACATACTAACAGATGAATGGAAGGGGGAAAATTTAAAAGTTATATTAAAAAATGGCAAGACTTAGATTTGACCTGGGATTCTGCTGCTCTGTGTCTAAGTAATATTCTAAGTAGCAGCATCTTCACACATGGTGCTATTTTCTCTCACATTAAACGACTCTGATACTTAAAATAAAATTTTCAAACTTAACCCAATATATGACAACTGAGAGGACAATGCACCTCTTTCTAACAAAATAACTTCAGGATTTGTCCTTTAGAAGCCCTGTGTAACTACAGTACTACATACAACAGTTTGAGTTAACCACAAGCAACAGAAATGAACTAATCTACAAGTAGATATGAACTAGTTATCTAGCACTTGAGTGTGTAACTCTAACAGCTCTTAAGATATATGTTTAAACAAGATTTGGTAAGCTAGTGCACATGGTAAATGTACTTCAGTTTGCATTTTAGTCATGTCACGTTCAACTATCATTTTAGTTTTTGCCATGTGAAAACCACTATCGCCCTTAATGCACCATGTCAGCGTCTTTGATGTCATTAATTAATCTATGATAATGGAATGACTAATTTGATTGACAATTTACAATTCTAGGGGCTATTTTAACATTTTAATAATTTTAGTGATTAAATTGATATCACTGTACAATTTTAGTGATTAAAAAGTGCCATTGCAGTAGTAATATTATTGTGACTCACAGGTGTGTTCCTGAGATAATATATCCAAAAAAAAAAGTCAAAATGAGAAAAATAAGAAAAAAAATAAAACAAAAGGAAAAAGGAAAAAATATATAACATTCCAAAAAAAGGTGAAATCATGAAAAATAAGTTAAAGGAAAAAATATAAAATAATAAAGAAAATAAAACATTATTATTGTTGTTTTTGTTATCTAAGATAAATAGGGGAAGAAAACAACAGGTGAACATCACTGTACATGTTCTGTTAATTGGAGTTGGGTGTTTCTTGGTTAGCTTTTCGCAATTTTTCATATTTCTTCCTATCAAAACCCTAATTCCCCCAATTTCAGTTTTCAGCCTGCAAAAACCTCTCTTTCTCTCTCTAACTTCTCATTGGTTTTCTTCATTCAACAGCTTGATCCTCAGGTTCTTTCTTCTTCTTCTTCATCTTTTTCTCAATTTTCTCAATTTACACTTATACCTATGAACATTAATTGACCAGCGAATTCTGAATCTTGTTAGCATTTTCCTTTTCATAACAATCAACAAGCCTGCTTTGTAAAAGTCCACGATAGCCTTGATGCTATTCTACTTTTGATTGTTTTAATTTTACATATTATATATATCTCCTATACCATACTATTGTTTTTATTAATTATATGATCCTGAGATATCTCCTAATATACACACTCCAATTGTTTCATGTTAAATCCCTAGGATATATTAAACAACTCACTTCTTAGTAATCTTGCCTCTCTGCCACAGCCAGTATGCTTTATTTATATTTGATTGATGCATTGTTTTGGTAATGTTACAAGTGAATGGATAGTTTTTATTATGACTTAACCCTTTCGTTTTAATTTGCTCTTTTGTATGTTATAGATTTATAGGTCTTTGATGTTGACATTATAAGCTGGAGATATTGCACAAGCTTCACCATTTTCTTGGGCAATTATGAGAAGCTGTAATCAATCTGAAGGATGAACCCTGGACTAGTTAGTCTACTTTGATTTTCTAAGGAAGAAAGGGTTTTAATAACATTAGATTTTTGTTCATAGTCATATTTTCTGATTTCCGGTAGAAAATGGCTGCTGAAGATGATAAGAATCTTGTTGAAATTTTGGAAAACCTGAACCCGGTAGATGTTGCTAAATACATGAATTTTGTCAGTGCCCCCCAAGCTGGTGCTATAGCTACATTTTCAGGCACAACACGTGACAGCTTTGAAGGAAAAACAGTCTTGGAGCTGAGATATGAAGCTTATGTTCCAATGGCAATACGCTGCATCAAGTCAATCTGTTCATCTGCAAGAGCATCCTGGAATCTACATTCCATTGCTGTTGCTCATCGTCTAGGCACAGTGCCGGTGGGTGAAACAAGTGTCTTTGTCGCAGTCTCATCCGTCCACAGGGCTGATGCACTAGAGGCTTGTAGATTTCTGATAGATGAGGTAAAAGCAACAGTTCCTATTTGGAAAAAGGAGGTCTATTCAAATGGGGAGGTTTGGAAGGAGAACAATGAGTTCCTAGAGAGGAGGTTCGAGCTTGGAAACAAAGATGTAAATTGTTGTGGAAAAAAGGCAGAAACTAAAGAGCACATTAAAAAGCCCTGCTGTGGGACTAAGGTCAGGGTTGATGATGAAGGTAGCTAAGGCTAATATCAATGTTGAGAATCAAATATACAAGAGGGTAATTAAATAATTGTAGCTTGAAGAATGTCTCTGTTCCTCCCTTCCGTTTTGCTCAATCTGTTGATTGTATTTAAACTTTGAAGGTAATAAGTTTTCTTATCAATAATTGAGATAGATAGGTCACTGAGATATCTCATTCTGTCATTTTGTTAGTTTATTGTGAACAACTGTGACGATGAAAGCAAGCATTTGATAGTAAATGATTAATTCCAACTCATAATGAGTTCAATGATATGTAGTAAAACTAAAGATTATATATGTTTTTAATTTTTGAACTTTTGTCAATTTTCACTTTTAAGTTTTTGAACTTTTTTTCTCATTAATATTTTAGTTTCTATCATGGTGAAAAATTTTAAAGACTAAAATCAAATAAAATTTGTTAAAAAACTTAAAACAAGAACCGACAAAAATTTATGAACTAAAAATATATTTAGTTTTAGAATTGAAGTAACACCTGTGTTATAAGAATGTTGGAGAATATTTAAGGTTACCTTTCTCCGGGATGTTTCCTAGGGGTGAGAAAACAGAGATTTCCCAATACAATCTGGTTTTTTGTTTTCTATGCTTGGTCATTAACTTTTCTAACTTGAATTAGAGTGGAAATGACTGAAGTTAGTTAGCTTGTATCAAAGCATGCCCCTTTAAAAATGGAGTCATGCATCAAATTCTTATCTTATGCAGTGTGTACTTGTTTTAAGGGATCTTCACTTTTCAAAGCACATTAAATGGGAATCCTCATCTTAACATGCCCCCGATGGAAACACAAACACAACTATAGTCTAATTGAAAAACAAATATACCAAGAAACCAGTAGTATAATGTAATGCATGTTTTTAAATTGATTGAAAACAACTCATGCATGTCAGGTATATTTTACATATGTATGGGGTTATATTTAGAGACTTTATCACACCTTTTGCTACTCATGTTTCATGATTTTATATATTTTGTCATCCAACTTTTAAGATCATATATTTTTAAATATGATTTTTAAAATTTTGTATATTTTGTTGATGTTAATTGAATAGAACCGATGACCTTATTTAAGTAGATCAACCAATAACTTGTTGATAAACAAACTTATGAATAAACTCAGGAGAAATAATAATTTATTTTTCTAACATGAAAAATTGTTAATTTTAAAAAAAATATTTGAACTAGTTACAAAAAATAAAAATTATATTCTTAAAATAAAGAAAACAAATAATTCACTCTATTAATACTGAGTTCAATTCCTCGTGAATAAAAGTAAGCAAAATATGTTTAATTTTTTTAAATATAAACGAAGTGTATATTTGATATATATTTTTCAGAAAAATATTTTTTTTTATGAAATTCTCTCAAATAGTTAAAAGATAACAATAATTTTCTCAAAATAATTTGAACAAATTATAATCCAAACACATGAAGAGAGTGTGTTAAATGAGAATGATCATTTTATATGAGAATAAAAATGATCAAGCTCAACCTTTAGATTTAAATAGACAACTTATATGCATATGTTATATAGGGACCATATTGTGTGAGAATGGTCATCTTATATGAGTATTAGGGATGCTAGAATAACCCAAATTTGTAATATCAATGTTGTCTCGAAGAGTTTTTGCATACTAACGAGATTGAATAAGAGATTATTTATTAAATAGATTGTTGCCACAACCTTTTTTTTTGTTTGTACATGTATAGTTATACATCTATTAGTATATTTTTTAAGGTATCATAGGAAAAGTAATTAATATTTTTTGATATTCTAAAATGACAAATTATTTAAGAGATAAAATCAATCCTTATATCTTAAATACAAACCTTTATCTTACACAAAAGTTCTTTTAGAAATTTTTCTTGAGAGAGTTTGTAGAGATTCTTTTAATTTTTTTTATCTAATTTGATTTTTTAATTTTTTATTATTATTTATAAATTAAATATTAATATTTTAAAATAAATTATCAATAAATAAATTTTTTTGTTACAATATGAATTATTTATCATAAATTTAAAATATAATTTATATGTTTAAAAATATTATGTATCCCAATGTTAAACATAATTTATATAGTCAAACATAATATATATATATATATATATATATATATATATATATAATATATTATATTGTTAAACATAATTTATATAGTCAAACATAATATATATATATAATTAATTAATTATAAATTTTAGTTATATAATAAACATGTTTATGCATTACATGTGCTAAAATACTAGTATTCTAGAAAGTGTGTGATAAAATGATTATAAAAAACAATTATACAAAAAAAAAACTTCTCAAAAAGATTTTTTAAGAAACAGAATTTAGTTCTAAAAAAATTATAAATTTATTTATTTTTAGAATGAAAATTTTAGACAAACCATATTATAAAAAGTATAAATATTTTTATTATATTATAAAAGATATCTTTGATATTTTTTTTAAACATATGAGCCCATAAAGAAAAGCAATTAGATAAGTTTAATTTTTACGCGTTAATATAAAATTACTGACTAGAAATCACTGTGATATAAGATTTTTAAATAAATATTATAAAAATTAATAACATTATAAGTTTTTTTGTTTTTGATAAAAAAAGGTTTGGTCTGAGAAATTTGGATTTTTAAAAGGGAAAATAAGTTCGGACTAAATCAGCCAAATTTAAAAAAAAAAAATCAAATTGAATGGATTTTTTCTTCCTCTTTCCTTCTTTGAGCTATTAAACATGAAAAATAAAAGAAACACATAAAAAAATATATAATTATATTCATAACAAAATCAAATATTTTAACCTTACTGTAAGGGATATGAACTTTCTAGAACTTGCTGCAATCATACCACATTTCATTTAATCTTACTGTAAATTTTCCAGCGGGTCAAACTTCTCTCGGATGTTACGTTTCTTCTAACTTTGTGGCCAAATCAAGAGAACTTTCAAGGGTCGGCCAAAGTCCAGCAGTATTAGAACAAAGATGAACATTAGAGAATAACATAATCGTGTAAAATATTGTTCCTATTGTCACACTCCTGATTACACTAGGAAGACATATCCAAATATTGGTTATGAATTCAGTTTCTCCCACCATTGATTTTTATTATTGTAATGAATTTTAATAAATTTATTTAGTTATATTTATAATGTTAATATTCAATAAATTTAATCACTTGATGGTAATCGCTGAGTTTTGGTATTTGATAAGTAAAAATCGAAAAAAAAGCTGAATATGAATTTATAGGCTAGAACGGCCCATTCCGGATTTAGAAAGGCCCGTTTTGGTTTCACTTTTTACGTGCTAATTTTGAATCATGAACGAGATGTTTTGATCCATTCGCCATGTCCTATTTTTTAATCTGGAACGATCCGTTCTAAAATCAGAACGGCCCATTCTGAACGTGAACAATAAAACTGTGCTAGTTGGAGAAATAAATTTGCACAGTTGCTATTTGAGTAAATTTTTTTAAAATGGTATTATTTGAGTAAAAAACTCAAGGATTGATAGATATTTAAAATATATAAATTATAGAAATAATTTATATTATAATGTATTATTATTTTTTATTTTTTTGAAATATTAAAATTTAATTTATAAATAATTATAATAAATAAAAAATTAAAAATTCCTAAAAACTCTATAGTGTAAGAAAACTTTTAAAAATTGTTGTCATACAATATAAAAGTTCATAATTAATATATAGTTTTGGGGGCATTAATTAAATTAAATTCTTTTTTCAAAAAACAAAAATTAAATTCTAAATAAATTCAATGTTTTAATGTATACATATTAAATTTATTTATTTATTTTTTAAAATATCAGTGCAAAACTGCGGAGTGCAAACATAGGTCGTTCGTTAGGTTTTCTTCTTCCATTACAAAGTACAAGCTGTCTGCAGCAGAGACATCCACATAACTCTCTCCACCGTGGAAGCACGATTTCTTCCTTCCTCGTACGTGTTTTATGAGTTTTTACTATGTTGTCTTCTGCCTTAGAATCTGTGCTTTGTTTCTTTGTCCACAAATCAGAATCCAGATAAAGTGTTTTCTTTTTATTTTCTCATTACTTCATTCGCATGTGTTATTTTTGTTGATCTGGGTATTAAAGGGAAGCCCATTTAGCCTTACTGATTATACATGCTTATGAAATTGATGGGAACCTATTCAAAGGGACTTGAGATTTTCTAAGGTTTTTCAGTACACTGCCCAAGTGGTAAAAATAACACCACACACACATGTTGGCTCTAATATACTCTTGATTCTTAGGTGTGACCCTTTTGAAAGTATTTTAGTAAATGCAAAGTTATAACTTCTGGGTTGGAAAATCAATCCAAAATTCTAGATGTTAATGTAAGAGAGTAGAAATTTAAGAGGTGCATTAGGAGAGGGTAGGTGGAGAGATGGGACAATTGAAGTCCACTAAATTGCATTCATGAATGGAGTTTTGAACCACGGTTATAAAGAATGAGACCTTGTGAAAAGAGAACTCACCACCCAAGTGAGATGGAGGGTCATGTAATAGAAAGTGTTTCTCTAGGTTGTGCAAAAAGCTTGTAACAGGGTGGATTTTTCTCGTGCTTGTCCAGAAAACTTGTAATGGAGAGGGTTTATCCATTTTGCCCAAAAAACTTGTAATGGGTGGCGTTTTCTCAACTTTGTGAAAACTTGTAATTGTATCTAAGATGATTGAAATGTTCATTGGATATATGCTTGAGGTGCTGAACTACATTACATTTGTGTCCTTTCACTATTTCTATTTGTGGTGTTGTATTGTGTGTCCCATTCCCATATCCTTGGTCTTCACCGTTGCACACGAGACCTAGTGGAAGTATTTAGCAATCATAACTACTATATATTTAAATGAAGGTTGGGTCCTTCTAGTGGAATGAGCTAGTCCTGTACAATTTGGTGAATCAAGGTTCAAGTTCCAATTGGGAGAAGTGTCTACATTTAGTGTTCAACAGTGTCTCAAACATCATTGTTTCCAAAGGAGGTTATATGCAGGAAACCAAAGAAAATACTGTTATAAATTCCAACTAATTATTTATATGGAATATGTTAAGTTATATGTTTGGCCTTTGGGAGTTTGTTAAAAATCTAAAGTTGTAACCTGCTAATATACTCCTTTTTTAAAACAAGTGGGAGTATATTAACATCCTCCATTCATGTGTGTTAGATAAAATCAAGAGAGGTAAAATGTAATAGTGAGGTAGGGGGTGGAGAGGTTGAGAGGGAAATAAAATAGAGTGAGGTATTTGGTTGTTGAGGACAGAAGATGGCATTTGATTGATGAGATAGCAAGCAGTGAGAACAGCATCACCCCAAAAAGGTTGAGGAACGTGACCATGAAGTAAGAGGGTGCGAGTGGTCTCAATTAGGTGTCTATTTTTGCGCTCAGCCACCCCATTTTGTTGAGGGGTATATGCACAAGAAGTCTGATGAAGAATGCCATGGGAAGCCATGAAGGCTTTAAAGGAGTGAGAGAGGTATTCACGAGCATTATCACTACGAAAAGTACGAATAGAAACACCAAATTGAGTACAGTCGATCACTCCACCCTTGGTGCACCTCTACCTTGATTGGCCTTTTTCGAACAATCCCTTACCATGTGACCTAACTTTCCACATTGAAAACACTTGAACTCCGTAAAAGAACAATCCTTCATCAAATGGGCTCTTCTACCTTTGAACCATTAAACATTGGGAACTCCTCCCTAGGGTGTGATAGGAGGTCTTCTTGTAAGAAAAATCCCCTAATACTAAGGAGATTTGTCTTAAAGTTTCCTTTTTCAACCACCTTTCTCAAAACCAGTTGGCCTTTCACATCTCTTCCTAAATCAACATCAACAACACATGACATAATAAAATTACAAATTTCTCTTGCCTTAATTACTTCAAAAATGAAGAAACTCAATAGGAATTGGAGAACCACAAACTTTAGAACGACAACTTCTCTTCATGATTGCAAGCTTTGTATCTTGAAACACAACTCTTATAGCTTAAGCTAATAATCAGGGGAAGAAAATGAGCCTTGTAGTAGATTTGGTCGAAGATCAGACTCTGTCTACTACGAAGCATTTCTCTGTAGACTTTGAAGAAAAATGAACTTATAAAGTTTATGCTTTCCTAAAACCTTATATATTTGTCCAAATTTTTTCACTTTTATCAATTAAAACTTGGGGAGCCACCATATGGTTGGGGTGTTATTGAGTGGTACTGTAACACCCTATTTTTCAAAAAAAGTTATTATTATTATTATTATTATTATTATTATTATATGGTATTTGGTCAAAATTATTTTTATAATTATAGAAGAATATTATTTTGTACGTTTTAAATAATTATTATTTTGGATAATTATTTTATACGTATTAAATAAGTATTTTTTATTAACATTTTAAATAATTATTTATATGTTTTAAGGGATAATTCGGAAGTTGATAAATTATTATTTTATTATAAAATCTAAAAAGTTGATTTTATATAATATTTTAATATTGAAATTATATTATTATATTATTTTCAAAATAAGAATAATAATAATATTTTTATTATTATTATAGAGAAAAAATATTTTATATAGTATATGTATTTATTTTACTTAATTATTTTGAGGAAAAGGAGAAGTGGGTCAGGAAGGGTAATGAGTTGGGTTGACCCGGTCCGAGGGAATGTAAAGAAGGGGTTAGCATATTAACCCTCATTAGTCTCATTTAACATTTTCTGAAAGAGTAAGAAAAAAAGAAAGGAAAAACAAGAGCTCTGAGGAGGAGTACCCAGAAAGAGATCAGGAGCAACTTCCACTATATCAAGAGTATTTTGATTAATGCAACCAGGTACGGGGGAAAATGAGAGATTTATGTGTGTAGAGTCGCATGGGGGAATGAGTAGAGAAGAGTTCCCGTGAAATTTTTAATAATTTTATAATTGTTTATGTTTGAAGAATTGTTGGTATTATGATATTCTGTATGTGTTTATGATTATGAATATGTGAAGAATTGTTAAAATTGATGTTCTAAGAAAAATATTGAGTTGTTTGAAATGTGCCTGTGAGTTAGGATTCATGAGGGATTGGAGTTTTGATAATTGGTGGGTTGTTTTGTGAAATTGATGATTCAATCGAGTTTCATATTGATTTATAAATTTGGTTGTGATATTATTTGGTAAAATTGATGATTTAGAGGATTATTGGATTTATTGGGATGTGCTCTAAAAGTTAAGGTTCTTGTAGATTAATGAACACTCTTAATTATATGAATTGATGAGTATTTAGGAGATTTTTCCTTGTAGATGTACCTTAGTACTTTTGTGGTATTTTTTTGTGTGATTAACCAAATCAATTTTCGTTTATTGGGTTAGAAAGTAGACACTTGGGCCTATAATTTAGACTTTATAATTGTGTAAAAATGTTAAGAATTGGTTGAGTTATGCGAGTTATAAGTTCGGTCTCCATTCTAGTGCGCGAAAGATTAAGTTTCATTTTGTCAGCCATGCGAGGTGACCTTAACGACATTTTTAGGCTTCGTGTTCTTCCAAAAGTTGTAGCTTTGGGTGTTATATTTTTAATGGCTTTGGAATCACCCAAAAGAGGATGTCTAAAACTCTAGATATGGTTGTTTTAATGAATAGACATCAAGTTGTCAGCGTGAATTATATCTTTTCCGGTTTTTGACTTTTTTAGCTAAGTAGATGATTTTTTTTTAGAATTTCATGTCTTCATAAGTGTTATAGATTATCCTCTTATGTTTTTTTTAGATAGGCTTGAGCTTATTTGGATGAGTATAACTCTTTGTGTGTTGTTTTCTTTGATAGATGCCAGAGAGAGACGTATGTTGTTTTGATATTCTAAGGTGTTATGGTTTAATTGATGATTTAATTATGATACTAGTATGTTGGTATGAATTGAATGTGATGTGGTTGTGGATATCCTCACACTTATGTCAGCGTGGCACGACCCTGGGCATGAGAAGCTACAGGGATGGCGGGAGCATGACATAGTGTGGGACGTGTGAGGCAATTAACACGTATGTCAGCGTGGCACGACCTTGGGCAAGATATGCTACAAGGGTGGCGTGAGCATGACATAGTGTCAATCGCAAGATTTGTGTGTGACAATTGGTATGAATTGAATGTGATGTGATTGTGGATATCCTCACACTTATGTCAATGTGGCACGACTCGTGTGTGTGTCCATTTGTGCATTTTTCAAGGAGGATATATTAAGTTAAAAAAGCATTCATCCTCCACACTAACATAGGAAATAGTGGAAATTTGCATATAGTTGTGGAAAACTTTATCTAATAGCTTTTTCTTGGTATCATAATATTGGACCAACAAAATTTATCAGAAAGGCAGTTTCTCAACTTGGCATGAGATTCCTTGATTGCACTTCTAATTTGGTTACTTAATGCTTCTTTGTAGAAATTTCAAAGAATACAATGGCTCACAGGCGTTGCCTCTTAATAAGAGGGAACCTCATGAATCGGAAGTGTCACCCATCTTTTAGTTATGTTCTCCACAGTGATGACTGGAGACGTGAATGCCCTGATGAAAAGTCACCTTCAGAAGGCATTAGTAATTCTAACCAAAGAAGGATGTTTGGGAACTCAGTTGATGGATCAATCTGGTTTGTTGCCTATTCTGGACATAGAATGCAATCAAACAGATTCCTTTCAGCGTACTCTGGATATAATTTCTGTCGACATATGTCAACAGTTAATCAGGGTTCTGATAAGATTGACATAATGACTGACATAGCAGATGTTCTCAAAGACACAACTGTGGAAGCTGTAACTTCTCAGGCTCCCATTGTCAAAGAAGTTGCAATTGCTGCTGCTGATTCTTTTTTACCTGTGAAGGCCTTGCAGTATATTATAGATGCTGTGCATTCCTACACTGGATTAAACTGGTGAGATTATACTTATTTACCTCTATGATTTCAAAAAGAGATAAAAGTAATACTAATTTTAAAATTTGCCTTAATTCTGTGGAATTTGTTAATTATTTCAGAATTGGCACTCATGCATGTCAAGTTGTCATTGGTGGATGTTTTGCTTTTAAGAGAGATTGTAGGTTTTAATTATTACTTTCTGTGGTTTCTCAGTTACTGAGTTTGATTTATCATGCAAAATAGATTTACCCCCAAATAGTTTTAAGATTCTCTATGTACCATTATACCTAAAGAGTACTCTTTTATGGGAGAACAGAATTACTTTGTGGAGTATATTTTTCTTTCATGATGAGTGCATGGTATAGCCGTATAGGTCATTAGGTTATTCCTGTATCTTAAAATACTGAATGTCAATTAAATGTAAATGCATTTTATTATTTGGGAATGATGTCTGAATTGGCATCTCAACTCCTTTCATGACATTTCATAGTTTACTGAAATTTATGGTGTGTTTGGATGAGGGATTTTACAAATTCAAGGAATTTTAAATTCTTGGTATTTGAATTAATTTGATTTCAATTTCTATCATTCTTAAAATATTTTGTTTGGATAAGTCAATTCAAATTTTTAAAATTTTAAATTGTTAAGTTGGATATAATAATTTAATTCTACCATGGTAAAATTGATTTTAAAAATATATTTATATGTTGAGATTTTTCAATTAAATTTTATAAAAATAAATATTAGCTAATTTTTAAATATTTAATAATTTTAAAATTTAATATTAGTTAATATTTAATAATTCTAAAAATATTTTTGAATATTCAATAATTAAAAACATGAAGAGATAAGAGATAAGATAAAATATATAAGTGAAATAAGAAGAAGAAAAATATGAGAAATTTCAAATTCTTACTTTTTTGGGAGAATTTGAAATTCTACTATTTTAAAGAATTTCACAAATGCTTGGATTTCAAATTCTTTGTAAATTTCCCATCCAAACAAAGCATTTTATCTTAAGGAATTTGAAATTCTTCAAATAAATGAATTACCCTATATAAATTCCCCATCCAAACACACCATTAGGGTTTTTGGATTGTGCTAGTGAGATTGTTCTTGGATCGGTACCATGTATGATAAATATTCTGGGATCTCCAGTGGTCTGTATCTTCACATTTCAACAAAGATTTGGTGGCACATGGACCTTGAAAGGAAACACATCACCTTATTACTTCATTGTTTCAGGTGGGCAGCCATAGTTCTAACAACTCTCTTCATTCGGAGTGCAACAGTTCCACTCATAATAAATCAACTTAAGGCCACTTCTAAGCTTACAGTATGTTGTGCAGCTTGTAGTTTTATCACTTTTTCTTGCTAAATTGTTGTAATTGCAATAATTTTTTCTTGTTCCTCCTGCCTTCATATGTCTTGGTTGGAGTGGACAAATGTTAAACATTTGGAGGGAACTGGTTCCGCTATGTTCCCTTTCCCCTCTTTGAATTAAGATATTCCTAAGATGGATTGGTGGGTTAATTCCCTTGTTCCCAGCTCTACTCTCTCCCTTTCTCTTCCCCCTCTATCCCTGAAGGTCCACAATCTTGTTGTAGTTGTTATATCAATAATGAACTTCTATATTCCAATCTGTCCTGTTACCTAACTGTTTAATGTGTTGCACAGCTAATGAGGCCGCACATGGAAAAGATAAAGCAAGAGATTGAAGATAAGGTAATGATATTATATATCATCCAGTCCGTTTTTCTCCTCCTTTTGTCACTTTTAACGATTGCTAATAGTGGATATATGCCATGCTATTGGTAATAGTGGCATAATCAGGTTATCTTATGTGTCAATGATCTGTTTACCAAGTTACTGATTAATGAAGAAAATTAATGGTAGCAATTAAAACCATGTATTTTCAAAAAATAAGGGATCAAATGGAATTTTTTTACAGGCACTAAAAGCCAAATTGACTAATTTTTCAGGGACAGAAAATATACTTGAGCCTAAAATTTTTGCTTACATACAGTGGATTCATGCTTCTGCAGCCCCTGGGTACTGATACTCTTGTGAAATATTGTGTAATTGTGGATTCATCAAGATTATAACATATACTAAATAAATAATGCCTATACTAAGCATACAACTTTTTTAGTGTGTAAGATTGAGGTTTGTAGATGTTATGTTCTGTTCTGCATAAAAATGTCGGTGACCTTATCATTCAGTTATTACACTTTGTATTTCTACACAACATTCACCTTGGTTGCTGGATGTGCATTCCTTGTTTGTGCCTGTTGAGATTGCTGGTATTTTCCTTTTCTAAACATGTATATTTATTAATAACTTTGAAATTTCCCTCTCCTTTTGCATGTCCTGTTAGAGAAATTTATTAAGTTTTGGATATTCTTATTTGTATGATGTAGGCATAATTTTCTTATACCAGAAACACCATTTTCTCTAATCACAGTAAGTATTCATTTTTAGGCTATGGATCCCGTAGCTGTTGCTGAAGGTCAGAAAAAAATGAAGAATCTGTTTAAGGAGTAAGTGGTTTTTCAATTTGCATGTAAAGGATATCTATGCCATTATTTTTGTGGACTCTTTAGGCTATAACTGGTGCTAGTCATGTTTGATCCTGTCAATCTGATTTAGTTACTGTTTAGTCATATAATGTATTAGTGGAGCAATCTGAGTTGACTTGTGATTTGCCTTAACTGAAATCAATGAACATTCAATGGACATTTGATACAAAGGGAAATTTTCATGCTTGGAAATCAGGATTTCCTAAAATCATGAATATTGTTAATCATGATTCCTAAGAACAACTAAAGTTTGTTTGGTTGGATATAAATATTCTTGGGAATGGAACATTTATATATGTTTTATGGGAATCAAATATTTTGGTGTTTAGTTTTGATGGAACCTTTTTTCTATAACTTTATTTATCACTTTTAATGGTAACACGATATTTTTATCACAGTAAAATTTTTCTCCTAACTCAATGAAGTTAGATTTTCACCTTCCTTATGGGAACAATTTTGGGAGAAACATAGCTAATAAAGATTATAGGAAAAAAATGTTTCTTGATACTGTTATTTTTTAACTAATAAATCAAACATGAGAAATAAATATTCCCAACTTCAAATTCATGGGAAACTTAAACGCCCCCTCACTACCCCATGTTACCTTGTATGGAGTGGTAAAATGGCCCCATCTACTTTTTTATTTATTAGATGAAAAATGTCTGATAGCATGCCTCTCATTAGGAGGTATATGTCAGGAGGAATAGATATGGGGTTGTGTTGGAGAGAGAAGGGGGGGGGGGGGTTTGAAATATTGTAAAGGGGTTGGAAAGCAGTTAGACAGGTAATAGCCAACTAACAGAATTTGTTATACATTGTTAGAGACTAGAACACTGTAAATAGAAAGAGAAGAGGAGAGAGGGTGGGTGGGTGGAAGAAGTTAGTGAAGGAATGGGGAGTAGTTTACTAGCTCTCAAATCATCCTCAAGAGTGTTTTCTGTTTCTTCTGGTTACATTGACAAAGGGGTGTTAATACAAATTACTTGTTACTGAGTTTTGTTCGTCTTTGGTGCAATGTAACAAGTACCACATCGGGGAGGTCTCCTTACCAAGGAGGCCTTATAAGGCGGGAGGTTCTCCAACCTCTTGGGCCGGCTTTTGAGGGATGGTTCCCCTCCTTAGCCTTATGCTCGTTACAATGATGCTTTCATTGAGAGCCAGCCAAATCGAGAAGGACTACCCACGGAGGGTTCTGACCATCGGAGGGTTCTGACCGGCAAGAAGGCCGAGTGAAGTACCGGTGAGTGAAGTACCGTGGAGTACAGCCATCGAGGACGCTGGCTTTCGAAGGGGGTGGTAATGTAACAAGTCTCACATCGGGGAGGTCTCCTTACCAGGGAGGCCTTATAAGGCGGGAGGTTCTCCAACCTCTTGGGCCGGCTTTTGAGGGATGGTTCCCCTCCTTAGCCTTATGCTCGTTACATGCAACTCAGGAATTTAGAGGCAAATCGAGAGGTGCAGACTTGTAATGCAGGATTTAGCTAAGGGGGGAAAATCAACCAAATAAGAATGAATAAATGAATGATAGAGTTTAGAATGAATATTGAATTCTCAATCATCTCTAACGTGGTTTCAAATGCTATTTATACATGCGTTGGATCTTATGGCCAACTAACTAGTTAACCACCTAAAGAGATGTGGTCTTTCTCAACTAACTACACCAAATAAAAATCTATAGGAAATTACAATTACAATTAGAGAGTACTGTATCAATCTTCTCTTCCTCCACCTAAAGATAGTTTAATTGAAATTTTTACTTTTATCCTTTTAACTTCCTTTACACCTCGCTTTCATAAAAACAGATTTGGAAAAATTAACTAAACATTTTTTTTAAAAATACCCACGTGTCATTTTGTTCCCGATTTCTAGGTAATGTTATTCTTAGGAATAAAAGTTGAAACAAATGTCTCCTCAATGTTGTATTTGAAGATATATACGCAAATAAATTATATATATATATATATATATATATATGTATATTTTTTTTTTTTTGCTTTGTTTTGTAATCATTGTATACATTTTAGAAAACTAGTTATTACTAATATTTAAGAACTTTGACGTAACTAACATATGGTTCACGGGAACCTAGTGTTGTAAGTACTAATTCAAACTTGATGAATCTTTTCTTTCACTAGATGTTAATTTTCTCTTTGTGGTTGTGATAATGTAGATATGGTACGAGTCCATTTACTCCATTGAAGGGACTCTTTATTCAAGGTCCGGTCTTTATCAGTTTTTTCCTTGCGGTAAGCTTGCTTTCAATTTGATATTTTCTCTAATTGTAGGAGTTTGAGCAATCTATACATCGTTTTTATTTATTCAGATTCTTTTGTTTAACAATAGATAAGAAACATGGCTGAAAAGATGCCATCTTTCAAGCATGGGGGAGCCTACTGGTTTGTTGATCTCACAACTCCAGATGCCTTGTACGTTTTGCCAGTTCTTACTGGATTGTCATTCTTAATAACAGTAGAGGTGACCCTTTTTTGTTTCTTTTCAAAGTCTTTCATTTCAATTCACTTTATAAATCGACCTTCTGAGTTCTTGTCTGAATGTTTGCATTGCCTAACTTTTCTGCTTAGAATTTATCCTGACAATGCACTAAAACACCAGATAACATAGTTTGGAATTTGATGAGGCAAGAGTGCCGTTATCTGTTATATTTTGGTCCCAATTTAAATTGATTGATTTTACGCTATTCCTCAGTGCAATATGCAAGAAGGCTTGGAGGGAAATCCTGTTGCTGGAACCATGAAAAAATTCTCTAGGGGTCTTGCAGTTCTTACAGTTCCTTTCACCATGGGATTTCCAAAGGTAGATTTTCTTATCTTATCTTGTTTGGGAAAGAATAAGTTCCCTCTACTTTCCATCATGATCAAACATCTCTTTTTTATTTTTATTTTTTTTTGTTTATGGGTGTTTTAATATAAAATAATACATTAAAATACATAATAAATAACTGTTTTGTATAATTACAAGTGTTGGTCTAGTTTAAATTTGAATTTATATTACTTTGTTTATTATTATTGTTAAATTCAATTAATTTTATATAAAATCGAGAAGAAATAATATTAAACAATTTTACTTTGGAACAATATATTGTATCATTGGAGTTATTAGTTATTAAAATGGAGAAAATACATTATAGAATTTATTTGATGAACGTAAGTTTTAGTTCTGTTAAATGGTTGAACTGAGTAATTCAATGTTGAAAGAGGTATCTACCATGGAGACCTTTAATCATTTGTTATTTTTAGTGAAACAAATAATTTGTAATGATTTAATCATTTTCTTTGGTGATGATTAATTTCCACTAAAGAATTTGACTGATCACGTATAGTGGAGTCTTTCTTTGTAATTAAGTTTTTAATTTAATTTTATATCCCCTTTTTGGCGTACACATTTATTGGGCCATTTTCTCCTTATAAGTTATAACTACTTGTTCCAATTTTTTAATTTTTAATTTTTATTTTAATTTAGTTTCTTTTGCTCTCATTTTACTTCACTATTAACATCTCACATGTATTCTTTTAAGTCCTTATATTATCTCCTTTTATTTTAGTTTGATTTTTTAAAAAATAAAAAGGTATGAAGTGTCTCTTTTCCCCTATTTATGTTAAACAAAATATTCAAAAAATTATATATCACTAACCTAAAATACATTATTGTATATTTTTTCAGAGTTTAATTTCTATACATTGTTGGTGTATATTTTTTTACATCGTCAAATAATCATAAATCTTGGTAGTTATAACTTTTTGTTTTTGACACCAAGTAGGTATAACTTTTAAGGTAGTTATTTTATAAACTTATCATATATGACAATTTGTAATTGAATGATAATGTAAAAAATAGTGCATAAACTATTAAAATTATAAGACTTGGAATAATATATAAAGCACATGTTATGAAAATTATTTAGTCAATTGGTATTGTTAATTCAGTTTTTAATTTTTCTTGTTGATTAATCACTTAATTTTAATTTCAACCATTAATTATTAATTAAAATAAAATATTATGAATTATTTTAAATTTAACTACATGTTTATAAAATCAATAGTTTGGAAATATATCTAACCTTTAATAATGTTTTATGTTATTATTAAGGTATTTATATATCTAGCTTTTCTTTTATATTATTTTTATTTGTTTTAAATTGACTACATTTTTATATCTATAAAATCATTAATTTTGAAATATATCTATGTTTTGTAATATTATAATATTTAATAATAATATTATTATATTATTCATATATCTAGCTTTTATCAATAAAATCCTTATTTTTAATTATATTGTTCATAAAATGTATCTTGAAGTAATTAAATTTAAAAATAAAATAACTTATTTCTTAATTACTTAAAATAAAATATTATTTTTTTATCATTTTAAATTTAACTACATATTTATAAAATTATTATTTTTGAAATATACTAATTTTTTTTATCATCTATTGGTTTTGAGATGTATATTATTAGCCGACAATTATCAAAATTGTATAATAAATAACATCATGTGAACAATTTTAATTTTTCATAAATTTTAAATATGATCAACGACTATTATAAAGTTCAAATCTTCATCAATGATTCATATTACTTCTAGTTTACATATATATATATATATATATATATATTCAAATCTTCATCAATGATTCATATTACTTCTAGTTTATATATATATATATATATATATATATATGAAGCTAGTTTTAAGCAAGGGTGGATATAGAGACTGACCTAACCAATTCAAAATCCAACTTACAAAATCCACATTTTTAATGGGTCAAATAAACTCAATCTACAAAATAAATATATTTTTTTCAGGATTGCATTGTCTTTACTCTTTCGATAGCATGCATCCACCAACTTTGGTTGGCACAAGTGGGGAGAGACTCATGTCATCTAACCAAGTGGTCAAGGTTTGAATCCTGACTCTTGCGAATGCAGAAAACTAAATCTAGGAGGAGATGCTCACCTATTTGGTATTTGTGTCAAACCTTCAATGGAGATTGTCCCGTGTTCAACAGGGAATATACCTTGATAATGAAACCAAAAAAGATAGCGTGTCTCCTATGCATGACATATAGCACGTACATATGTCATATACAATTTTGACAGATAGATAAGATAGGTTTGCATTGCCTTTAAGTAATAGTAGCTTTTATTTTCAAATTTTAATTATGATCGTCTTTTGGAAACTACTTTTAATTTGATTGTAATCACAAACCTACATCAAACATTTTTTTTTGTTATGAAAAAATTCTTGTCTGTTGGTGTTTTTTTTTGGTGGGGATTTGGTGTTCTGAATGGAGCGTAACAGCATAATTTCAAACCAGATATTTTTCCCTTCCCATCTTCTGTGAGACTGGCACAAATTTATTTATCTTGACTTCTATGCTCTCCGGTGATATTGGAGAGCAAAGTTGAGAGGATAGGTTTGCTCATTTTGTTTGGTTGCTTAATCCTGTTCTCTATGACGAATTTTGTCCTCATGACTTGTGCTTCTCTACAGTTTTTTTAATGGAAAGATCATAATAATCAGAAAAGTTAAAGTAACATTCTATTCCAATAAAAAAAATCTAAAAATATGCTATATTTTTTCTATTAAAAAAGAAGTCTTACCTTAGTAATTACCAAACTGAAATTGTAGGTTTTATATATAGCCGATTGAGAAACCAAAGGGCGTTTTTGCCTATTTGCTTTTGTTTGTCATTCTATGTAGTTTTAACTTGTGTTTGTTTATATTTGTGCAGGCTATATTTTGTTACTGGATTACATCAAATTTGTTTTCACTTGTGTATGGACTTGGTAAGGCATTTCAGTTTTCAAGTTTTTCATATGCAATATTTCTTTCTCTTTTTCACCATTTACTATTTGAATAAACAAACAAATGATTTTTTCTTCTTCATAAAATACATCTCATTGGAGGCATTGATTATTTGATTCCTCCACGAGATTAATAATTGCATTTGGCTAGTGGATAATTCCAGTAAATTTTAATTGAAGAATCCTTGCTAGCATCTTGGTATTCAACTATTCTTGCCAAATAAATGCATGTATATATGATGATCTAAAACCCTCCAAAATGAATTGTCATTCCTTGTTTTGTTGGTTGACTTTGGATAAGTTGGCAAGATTATTCACAGCCGGCAATCAGTCATTGTTCCCTCTGTAAAATATCTTCTTGCACTATAAACTACATTAAAAGTTGGTGTAGTCTATATTTTACTTTATCCACCCAAAATTTCTGCTATCTTCATAAGAGGTTTGTTCCTTTAGACTCAGGACAATCGTAATACTTATGGAAGTTGGAAACTAAAATATAAAATATTTTCTCAAACTAATAGATACTGAAAACATTATGTTTGGAATATTTTCTTTAGTTCATGTGGTACTGTGGCCAAAGTTCTGTTCATGTTATTTTTGGAATTGAGACTTGAATTAGAGGAGTAGAGTGCTTTTAACAAAGGAAATAATTGATAGTAGGTTTGAAAGCCTCAAGTTTGGTGTTGTTTCACTATGTCTAAGTTTTTTATTTTTAGTATTAGGACATATTTGGATAAACTTTTTTAGAAACATTTCTATTCTATAAGTTTAAATTAGTTTATGCATAAGTTAAAAATAAGATTTTTGAGAAGCTAGCAAGAGAAAATTTCTACAAATTAAATATATGCATAACCCAATTTTAGTTCCTGGAGAAATTTATTTCATTTTTCTTTCTTATTTTTCTCTCCTAAAAATGCTTCTTGAGAAGTTTACCTAAGCATACCCTTAAAGATCTTGGACTCCATTTTCAACTGTATGCTGCCAAACGTTTTCTGTTATATGTTTTGTGTTAGTGATTTTTTAATCCCAATAAGCTCTTGTTTTAAATTTTACAGTCCTTAAAGCTCCTGGTGTAAAGGAAGCTTTGGGCATTCCTAAACTACCCGATGCAGCACCCACCAGTGCTCCACAATCCCCCTTTTCTCTGTTTCCAGCACTGAAAAAAGCTAAATCAGCAACCAATGGACCAACCTCATTGCCAGTTGAACCATCAAAACATCCAAAGAAAAACACATCTTCTCCTGATGCCAGTCAAAGGCATAAAAAGACATCTTCTCCTGATGTCAGTCAAAGGCTTAAACGTTTAGAGAAACAAGTGAAAGGAAGAAAGAAAAACAAGAACTGAGGAAAAGTTGAATTGTTCCTAGCTACATCATCTACTATCTAATATATCGATGTACTAAAATTTTGTTATCATTTATTTCAGGGAGTCTGTTAGAATCTGAATGCTAGAATTAGAATCAATTTTTTTGGGAATTATTTCTGATTTTAATTCTAAGGATTTGTTGCTAATACATAGCATGATTTGTTCCCAAAATAAACAGATCTGTCTGATGTAACTCATTCCACATTCTTTGTAGTTTCCCCTTCTAGTTACCGATTCTCAGGGATTGTTAAATTCCCATTGTAGGGTATTCAAATGTGTAATGATCCTATCGGAAATAACGAAGATCATTGTATTTTCTTCCTGTTATTCCAAAGCTGCCATGGTTGGTTTACTGCCAACTTTATATTCCAACTTTTCTAAGATACTTCATTTAGTACTTTACTTTGCGAAAAGTCATTTAGTAATTTAGCAAAATAGGAACTAAATGAGGGTTTATGTGGCTCAGGAATTAAAGTAACCAATCTTAAGGGCTAATTTCGAGATTTACCACTATTATTATGTTTGGGGTGAAGAACATAGAACCTAAGAACGAGTCTAACTCTGGCGGAGCAGTACCCAAGTGGCGAGAGTTATGATGGAGGTCACTTGCAATACTCAAGTCACTAAGAATTCAAGTTGGGTAAAATATGTAAGCCCGGAAAACCAAATGTTTTCCTTCAAGCTTGGAAACCTAACGTTCACCAAATGAACTCATCAAGATATCAACTTCAAAATGAATCCTTAACTTGATTTTTTTGTCCCAACAATAATGAATAAAATTATGGACAATGAGGAAATCAATCAGCGTGGAAAAAGAAGAGACTTTACAGCAACAAAACAAGCTTAATCAATTAGATATGAATTAACCAACAATATATCATATGCATCTCACTAATCCTATTCCTCAGCACAAGACTGTTAAAACCTGTATTATCCCATCTACAATTAAAAAACACAATGTTAGTTTATTCAATTTGTTCAAATCTATCAATTGCCATAATGCAATAAGTGAAATTGACTAGCCTGGACTAAAATTATATTGTATACATTATTTTTTAACCTAATGATCATCACTATAATTCTTCACCAAAATATTAAGTGCATGTGCATCAAATTGGATAAAGTATGTAATTAACTATCATCCTCGTTACATTCAATGGAATTACTATTCCTAATAGTAAAAATCACAGAACATACAAGATTAAGAAAAGGAACATAATATATATATATATATATATAT